GCCTTGCCCGGATGAGCTTTGGGAAACTCCAGCATGCCGAAAAATGTGCCAGAGTGGTTACAAGATACCATACGAAAAAGATAAACTCTGGGGTAAGGATGTATTGGTAGATTTCCTTCATGCACCTATGCTTTTCTTCTAATCATTACCTCAGGCGACACTACTTATGAACTACCAAATGACGAGAAACTGATCAGACAAGAGATCTTGAAAAACGGACCAGTTGTTGCTACATTCATAGTATATACCGATTTCTTCTACTACAAAGAAGGAATCTATACGGTAATTCCCTAGATTATTTTTATGATCAGAAGAAGGTGAACTTCTGAAGATATTGTAGCATACGGCTGGCAAGAAGGAAGGATCGCATGCTGTCAAGGTTATTGGCTGGGGTACCGAAAATGGAGTGGACTATTGGTTACTGGCTAATTCTTTCAATACTGACTGGGGAGAGGATGGCGGTACGTTCCACACTTTTTTTTTGCTAGATCGACCCGGGAGTATTACGCAATTGTAATGATCACTACTATAGGATACTTCCGCTTCCTACGTGGAAAAGACCATTGTGGCATTGAGTCGAAAATGGTTGCAGGAACGATGAAAGTGTAAAAAAAGCTTCATCTCAACTCTTTACTCAAATTGAATTTATATGTGACATTTGAAGTATAAATTAATAAATAATCATTACAGAGCACAAAAAGCAGATAAATGAAAAAGAATACACATGAAATACAGAAAAGCAGAAAATTGCAATGTATGGTAATGGTTCCGGTACGTAAGATTGTCGTAAAATTATGATACAAGTTCAGTGCTCTTATCCTCGCTTCTGCCAAACGTAAGATTTTACACTTATAGCACTTACTACAATGGACCTTCGCCTGAGAAAGCGCATCAGAGAAAATCTCTGAAAACTTTGTTGCATGTCAAGAGATTTATCAAACCAAATGAACTATTGATAGATGGCCGCAAACGGCCTTTAACAAAAGGGATGTCAAGTGGTGAAGGAGAACACGGTGAATTTCATGAATTTTACGCGAAAAGTAACCGTACGTCGGTTTGGAAGTGTGTCGTCAAATCGTCTATGAAGACTTCTGCATGCATTCTTACTTCAAGCAGTTATCCTACCATTTCAAAGCGGTGCAGAACATGCGACTTGTAATATGCGGACTTTTGCTTCTTCATCTCGACCAAGTTTTGGGCTGCTATATAACAAATATAAAAAAAAATATTAATTGATGCTTAGAACTCGTCAAAACGAAAATTTGTGGATATTAAAGTTAACAGGGAAAGTTGGCTTCTGAAGGCGACAAATTGCCCATAATTCAATTTGTGAAGTAAAAAGACTTATAGAACTTATATTAACAACAAGCCCTCAAAGGCAGACTTGTTGAAGATGTAAAATAAATATACGTTCGCTTCTCGGAGTTATTTGCACTAACGTGCGCTCATTTTCAAACAGTTGGGAATCATCTGCGCTGCAGAAAGTGCATTGCTTGCAATTTATATATAAGGTTGCAAAAATGTTGTCCACTAAATGCTTAAAGCAGATAATTTCGCTTTTGTAATAGAACGTTGTAGAACGTTTTACTCGTACATTGTATTCTCTTCATGTGTGACCTGAAGTAAGTAGCACTTGGTTCAAAACGTGATCTTTGGCGCAAGAAAAAATCCGTTCCAAAATTACCTATTACTTCATTGGCTGCTCAAGTCTCTACAACGCTGTTTTCGAAGTGTTTCTTAAGAAATAATCAGTGATTTGCAGTGTTGATGACAAAAGGTTTTTAGTGTGACTGATTGAGATATCATTGTTAATATAGTTAACGTCAGATTTGAAAAGAAACGAGAACAATTA